TTTATTAATACTAATTTCATATGATTGGTAACTTTATTTGTCTTATTCTACTTTTTATTATATTGTTTTAAATAGAAATTTTAAAAAGCTTATAAACATACATTTTTAAATTTGACATGGATGAAAATGATGCCATTGAAAATGTAAAAAGAAAATACCCCTGTAAGTCACATTAAGGAGTCAAATGTCAGCTCGTATTAGGAAGGCTAATTTTTGATCATAATTTGATTATTGATCAGAAGGTGCTCCTATTTATTTTTTTTAATTAGGGGAGGACAAGCACTCCTAAAAAGAAAAGTAAGCAAAGTGTATCAGAGAAAGCTGAGTGTAACAGTATATTAGATCCGTGCATGAGGTCTTAAAGAGACAGCAGCCTAAATAAACTTGCTGCTGCCTTTCATTATACAGTGAAGACTATCCAGTGTTATTTTACAGTTGAGTATAGATTATAGTTAGACCTAACTGAAAACATTTATTGTTTTTGTTTGTGCTATTGATTGTCATTAATTGATTTGTTCTTATTTTATTATTTACTTGTCTTTTTTTAGTTAAAATGAAAAGGCCATGTCCACACGTACACACGTATTTTTAAAAAGTTTTTCCTCCTTCCGTTTTAAAAAAATCTCCGTCCACATGCAAACGCGTGGTCCATGAGAAATAGTCCTCCCACTACAGCTGGAAAAAATCCTAGAGGAAACACTGCATGCATATAATAAAATTAGAAAAATGCATTTACAAAGGTAAAAAGAAAATGCCCTTGAAATCACTTTGAGTCAAATGTCAGCTCGGATTAGGAGGACAAGCGCTCCTAATTACAAGACGACAAACACTGCTCTTAAACTGGGTGTGTGACGGGTATGGCTGTGGAATGGGATTTGGCTGAGGAAAAAATCAGTCAAAATATTTTTTTTTGCTTTAACCCCATAATTTTTACACATCAGGGAGCCGTATCAATATGCGGGGTATTGAAATCGCATTTGAATAAGCGCTTGCTGTTCAATTTCACTTTTGATTTTGCGATATAGCGGCAATCTGTGTAAAATGCGCACATCTTGCAGTGTGTACATAATTATTAGGCACGTTGACATTCTGATCATATTTTTTTCCAAGCACATTTGACCAATTCCAAACCACATCAATCTTAATAACTACTATTATTTTTGTATTTAATAATTTAGAAGTGATGCTGTATATAATTGTCCATGAAGGCTAGAAATGAAAAACTCCTTATTAAGGTGTGCAGAATTATTAGGCAGGTTTTTTTTTTACGGATGAAATGAGCCCCAAAAAAAAGAGATTTAACTCCAACGGAGAAGTCAAAACTGATTAAAACCCCATGAGAAATATTAAAAACAAATGCAATACAGAAACGTCAAAGTTAAGGCATGACCGTTGGTCAGCAAAATGCTCATTGGGACAGCGGGGTCAGGAAAAAACAGGTGAAGAAGACAAACACTAACTGCAAAAGAATTAATGTGAAGAATTAGGTGTGAAACCATCAGGAAGCATTTAGTCTCCAGCGTCACCATTTTCCAGAACTGCAACCTTCCTGGAGTCTCCAGAATTACAAGGTGTCAGGTTCTCAGAGACTTTGCTTGGGTAAAAAATCCTAAAAAATGACCTTCATTTAATTAGAATAATATGCTGAAGTATTGTGAAATACATGAAGACTATTTTTATAGGCTTTATGGACCGATAAGTTGAGTGACTCTTGAATTGTTCATGAAAAATTTTCAAAAAATACTGACGTTTTGAGCAGCTGCATTCCTCTAGGTCAAAGATGAAAAAATGGGATTTACAATAAAGTAATTTACAAAATTATTTTGACTTGAGCTTATTTATTAATGAGTAATGTATATTTTGAGTGAATGTGCAAATTTGTAATGTTATCAGCTTTTACCATGTTATTACAACATTTAACCACTTTTTATTAATTTAAAAATTGAGAAATTCTTTCCAATTTAAATCTTGTACAAGAACTACAGCAAAAATCAGTTTGATGCATATTTTATCAATATTTTTGAAATTTCATTTGAATATTACCAGTACTGACTTCAATGGATTTCATTAAATTCCTTTTGAACACGACTGCTCAAAACGGTCTAAATTGATGAAACCTACACATTCAAAACATTATTACTCTGAAATGTTTAATGTAAATGTGAACTGTTAAGTACTGTAAGGTCTTTCATGACACTACATATGTTGGGGTGTGAATTTGATAGGTGCTTGATATAAAATAAATGGTGCTTTAAAAAGTCCTTGAATCTGGTGTTCATGAAAGAGTGGGAACCCTGTACTCACTTTTGTGGCCAGTGGTTTAGACATTAATGGCTGTGTGTTGAGTTATTTTGAGGGGACAGCAAATTTACATTGTTATACAAGCTGTACACTCACTACTTTACATTGTAGCAAAGTGTCATTTCTTCAGTGTTGTCACATGAAAAGATATAATAAAATATTTACAAAAATGTGAGGGGTGTACTCACTTCTGTGAGATACTGCACGTCATTCAACCTGACCAATCAGGTTGTGAATGTATCACTATGCCTTTAGGTTCGCTGTCAAAACTGCCAGTGTGAACACTCAGCGGACCAGGACCAAATGTATTATTTACTTTTTTGGTCCAGACCAAATGAACCAAGAGAAACGAACTACAAGTGTGAACGCACCCTAAATTTCTACACGCAGTGCTGCTTATCAGTGTCCATTCCAAAGCGGTGGACCAGTCAGAAGACCCTGGAGGCGGAGCAAGCATTGCCAGCTTTTGTTTATAGTAGTGAGGTGTAGGGGTGTCCCATATCATACCGCCCACGATAACACCGGTATAAATTTTTACATGATAAAGTGTCATCTCGCGATATCATTGATCTAGCGACGCAATAAAGTGTAGCGCATAATAGGTGTGGTCGACTTGAAGCAGCGCTGCGCAGAATGATCGGTGTATGACATCAATATATATATATCAAATCAATGATATCACGAGATGACACTTTGTTTGGATTGCTGCTGTTTGTTTACATTTGTTCTTAAAATTTTGGGTAAATTTTATTAGGTGACTATTGTGCAGGCTGCTGAAGAGTTACAAGGTTAAATTACTTCAGTTATTGTTAAACTGAAGTGTTAAGGAGTTATGTTATACTTTTCCTTAAGAATTCGAGAGAAAACACTACCAAGGCTACATTTGACTCCTGCTGTGTGACTGTGTCACTACTATTGCACTATAATGCTGCTGCTGCCACCTTATGACAATAGATTTACACTTCGAATTAGGTAGTCTGTCATCGATGACAGTAGCTCATTGGAAAAGGATGGAAAATGCCCTTCATTTTGTTGTCTGCCAGCAGCAATCACCAATAAAACGTTGTTCCATATTTTTTTTCTATATCGTCATAAATACCATTTTTGAAAATATTCTTGAAATATCGTGATATAATTTTGAGGCTATATTCGCCCACCCCTAGGGAGTTGGCATGGTAATTAAGCAATAATTAAAGAAGAAATTACTTTATTTAAATGTTACAATATATAAATAATATAATATATAAAATGGGAAACTAAGTATTTAAAGTTGTAGTAATATTTTTCACTGTGTGTGTGTGTGTGTGTATATCTATCTATCTCGTTGAGCATAAGAAACTTTCATAAACATAAAAAAAATAATCTCACAGACTCCAAACTTTTGACTGGCATCTTATATGCAACTTAAAGTTATAAATTTTCATTGGATGCGTATTAAAATTAAGATGAAACTTTCCCCACATTTTAAAACTTACCACTGTTATATGGTTAGTTGCATTTAGAATTTTTTTTTTTCTTCTGTGATGTATACCCCCCATTTTGTGGGTCACCAACCATTAGTTGAGAACCGGTGATTTAAAATATTAGTATTCTATTGTTGTAGCTATACTTACAGATGTTTGAATCATAATAGATGAAGCTTGTGTCTCTGTAGCTGGTTATGACATGCTGTCTAATCTCACCATCTTCCCTCTTCCCTCCATCCATGCATGTCTTTCTCTGCTCATTTGGCACGCTCCCTTTCTCCCATTTCTTTCGCCGTCTCTCTGTGGACACTCGGGTCAGATCTCTGGACGGGCGTCTGCAAGTGTCTCACCGCAAAGGTCTGCCTCATGTCATCTACTGCCGCCTGTGGCGATGGCCCGACCTGCACAGCCATCATGAGCTGCGCGCCATCGAGACCTGCGAGTACGCCTTCAACCTTAAGAAGGATGAAGTCTGTGTCAACCCCTACCACTACCAGCGGGTGGAGACGCCAGGTATGGAAATGTGTCATTTGAACAGATACAGCTTTACACTTCCTATTGAGCGTTCATTCAATCATCAGAACATTTGCTCCTGTAGTTCTTCCTCCTGTCCTCGTGCCAAGACACACGGAGATCCTGACTGAGCTGCCTCCTCTGGATGACTACACCAACTCCATACCTGAAAACACCAACTTCCCTACAGGGATCGAGCCTCCTAACAATTATATACCAGGTAGGAGCACATTTCACACCATGTGTCTTACCTAGAAATTTAAGGCCAAAGTGTGTGTGTGTGTGTGTTATTGTGTAGTTTAAGAGTTCTAACAAGTTGTTTGTGATTTTCTAAATGTGTCCAGAAACTCCTCCACCGGGATACATCAGTGAGGATGGGGAGGCCAGCGACCAGCAGATGAATCAAAGTATGGACACAGGTACATTCCCATAGTAACTGCACTACATGGGAATGACAGCCACGTGTGTTTGCACTTTAGACAGTAAAGCATAATGTGCTTTTACTGCAGTAGTTTCCTTCTCAAGCTCCATCTAGACTTTCAATAAAGTATCTTCTGCAGTTGCGTACTAAAATTTGGATAATGAACTTCTTAAACTTCTTTTCCAGGGAGGGAAAGAACAAGTGGTTTTTAGTGCAATACCGAACTGTTAAAATGTGATCAGATTTTAAAAACTGGGCTTTATACAATTGCTGACTTTGTAAGTGGTTACAGATGAAAATCCTCATACGCTAAAATCTTCATCATACGCTAAAAGACTAGCGAGGAAAGAGGAGCACACATTAGCAGACTTTCAAGTCATTCCGTTCACAACAAACTCTTGCAGAAACATACACTTTATTGTTCGATGCATGACAAATTAAAACTGTTCTAAAATCTGCTTTTTTTAAGTTTCAAGTTAGGATTCCGAGTCTGTGCCTTGATCAGACTGTAAATCAGGTAGTGTTCATTTCGTTAACGAAAACTATGACGAAAAATGTTTGTCAATTAGGTTTTTTCCCCTGACGAAAACGAGACTATTATAAGGTCATTAAGCAATAACTGAGACAAAATGAACATGCAATATCGTAGACGTTGTAGTTAAAAGAACAAAAACTTTACCAAAATCTTTTTATTTTTGCTGACTGTAAATCGGGGCAAAAATTTCTCATGTAGTTGTATTCCAGCCTTAAAAGCAGTTAACTGATTTTGCTTTAGGATCCAGAATTTACAGACCGCAAGTGCTAACCTGACAGAAGTTACGATAGTACCTGAAGGAGGAGTTTACCTTGTGACCTAAATTTTATACTACTTAAAATTTCTATAGTTATTTCAAACAAAGTCTAAATTCGAAGTCAACATTAAATGACATTTCACTGTTTTCTAAATGTTTATTGATCTTAATGATTTATCCATGAATGTTTAATATTTATTATGATGATAAAGATTATTATTATTAACTTAAGTTCGCATTCAGACCTGCCTTGTCCAATCCTCTGATGGATAGAACCAAGTCCATTACCTGTGGGTTTTTTTTTTTTTTCTTGCCCACTTTATGATTTAGGCAATGTCCACACGTACACGGGTATTTTTATAAATGGACTTTTTCCTTCTTCCGTTTAAAAAAAAATCTCCGTCCACATGAAAATGCAAACGCATGCTATGAAGCACTGTCAAGAGCATGCCAAACCAACAGGTGGCGATATAATCTCAACCGTAAAGCCATGTTGGCCAATCAGAAGCCTGAAAAAGTTTCTAGTAGGCGGAGATAACAGCGCAGGCTCCGACGTCACAAGCCATAAACTCCTGTTTTGCTGTCTACACGATAACACTGCAACCAGAGTTTTTGAAAGTCTGCACCCTGCCAGGCGTTTTCAAAAATGTTCGGTTTCAGTGAACTGGTGTTGCGTTTGCTTGTGGACGAATAGCCAAACCGCGTAGAAAAAGCTGCGGTTTTACAAATAACCGCAGTCGTGTGGACAGGGCCTTACTCTGTATGTCTCAATGTAGAAGAGAAAATCTGTTGCTACTTCAATTACATTGCAGCTTTTTGGTTTTCGTCCTGTTGTGTCCAGAAGTTGGTTTTTACCAAGAATTTCCTTTTTAGTGCAATACTGCCTTTTGCTACCACTCATACTTGGAATTTAGGTGTCTGTTTGATCCCGTAACCATAAGAATTAAACTTAACTTGTGCTATGGACAGGAATAATTCCGGTCTGTAAAATCCCTCCAGGTAAGGGGTTCACTCACTTTTCATGGTCCTCTGTACCATCCATCCACCATCCAGAAATTTACATCAACCATTACGACCTAATGATATACTTTTACTTAGGCTGTAACCTGAAGATCTTCAATAACCAGGAGTTTGCGGCACTGCTGGCTCAGTCGGTGAACCAGGGCTTTGAGGCTGTATATCAGCTGACCAGGATGTGCACCATTCGCATGAGTTTCGTCAAAGGCTGGGGAGCTGAGTACAGGTATGGACAATCAAACCGCCTCACTGACAACTCTGCCAATCGCAAAAAAGTCTTAAACTGTACATCTGTAAACATGAACTATTTTGCTAGGGGAGGTTGTAAAGCACCTTTTAATTTAACTTTTTCAGGGATTAGAGGATATCTGTCTGTCTAATATATTTTAAGCTATATATTTTTTTCTTTGTGCGTGTTCACCTGAAAATGGGTAAAAAAAAAGTTATTTAAAAAATATATAAGAAAAGTAATTGAAGTTGTAAGTAGACGCAACTAGACTATTTTTCTCTCAATTTTGTAAAGGTGGAAAAAAAAACTACAAAAAAGTGCGAGTACGTGTGTGTATATATTTATTTATTTATTTATTTAATTACATGCATACGTTTTTGAATATAAACCATTAATTTTCCTTTGTATATAATGGTAAAAAATTAAGTAAAAGCTGGGTTTAAATTATGCTTGTAGTGAAAAGTATGATTCATTATTTCTCAAAATAAATGCATAGAGGAATCCGAAAGCTGTTATGCAACCCTCCAAATATTTAATATTATATTTAAATATAGTTTATGCACTTAACCTCACTTTATTTACCAATGTCTTTGGTGTTGAATTAATCGTCTCATGCTTCACTTTTGTATTTTTATTGCTGAAATAAGTGTTAAACTTGCTTTTCTCTCCTTTTATTCTGCTTTTGATATCCACAATTAGTTAACTACATCACCAATTTTCATGTTTTGCCAGAACGTTTACTTCCTACGTGGCATGTGCTTGTAGTAATCGTGGATGTTGAAAGTAGCAGTTTTTCAATATGTAGTCAATAACAAAACTGGACGAAATGAAACCATACCAGTTTTTGTACAGTATTGGTAGTACAGATGGGTATCATGGCAAAAGCATTGCTCATTTATATTAATGAGGTTTTTGCTATGCAACTTTTTCTGAGGCTAATTCATATTCATAAGCCAAGTCTTTGCTATAGTAAGAATTAAAACGCGAAATGAATATTCAAGAACCAAGCCATCAAGCTGTCACCATTGTAGCTTGAACTTTACTGAATGCAGTTGAAATTCAAATCTGATTCCCATGATGCATCCTGGTTCTGTAGACGACAGACGGTGACGAGCACCCCCTGCTGGATCGAGCTTCACCTGAACGGCCCCCTGCAGTGGCTGGACAAGGTCCTGACCCAGATGGGCTCGCCCTCCGTACGCTGTTCCAGTATGTCCTAATCGCCGTGACCAAGCTCTCTGTCCTCTGCCCCCAAAACGACTGATTCTACAATCACATCTACCAACAACTCGAAGACTTACTCGAACCCCGCCCCCTCTTTCTCTTTCATAGTACCCGTGAGCCTTTCTCGATCTCTGTCCTCCTGACACTGATGTTCTCTCCGTTCGGACCTGAACGCAGCACTTGCTGTCTCATCAGCTTCATGCACCTTTAATTCTCTCTTGTTTTCTTTCATAAACCCTCAATATTAAATGTATTAGTAGTAGAATTTGAAATGTATATTGGTTTTTATTTTATTTTCATGGTTTTCGAGAAGGAGGGAAGGTGGTGCGTATGTTGTGTGGAAGTTCAAGAAGGCAGTTGATAACTTCCCACACTTGTAGCAGCAAGGCTTTTTCCCCCTGATGAAGTACATACTCTGAAACTCATTTAACGATTAATTTTCCTGGATGCCGATCCAAATCCAGTCGTTCAAGGAGGTTACTTTTTCTGGCAAAAAGTCACGTTATTTGTTTTTATCCACGTTGTTATTATTGTGTAGATTGACACGTTAAGACTTAATCATGGTTTTTGATTTCTCCAGTAATGCCAAAAGATATTTTTATTTGAATTGTTTTTTTTTTCGATTTCTTTCCCCAAACCACTATATAAGAATGTTGCCTTTGATTTGAGGTATGCTGCTGTAAGTCGTGCTTATTTGCTTCAGACTTATAGAATGTTTAGCGCAAAAAAAAGAGCCCATGTTCAATTCGAACTTTACGCCGCCCTCGGAATTAACTTTTTATTCACTAGTTAGCTGTGGAGTGATTTTTGGAGTCCGGTTTCTCCAGAAACTTGTTTCTTTTAGGGATGAACAAAGACTTTCGAAGGTTGTTAAAACGTCTCGCACAGTCCAGATCTTTAAAATAAAAACGACAAAAAATAAAAAAACAAATCCAAGTATTTAAGCTTTAAGTGTTAATAGGTTATCCTTCACACAATTACAAGATTTTTTCCCCCCTTAATCTTTCTTTTAGCTACTTTTTGTATTTTCATGTATTTTTATATATAAATATATTTAAGATCTTTAAAGCTCTCTTCCTTTTTATTAGAACTGAATATTTTTTTAGATCATGCCCTCTTTTTAAAGGAACATGGCTTCATAATGAGATGTCCTATCATACGAAAATGTTATTTAGCATGGAATTTTTATAAGTGCAGATATCATTTCTCCTCTTCCTCCGCTTTCTAATTCAAGCTGTTGTCCCAGTTTAACGTTTCGTCCTGATCTCGAACCCCCATGAAATACATCTGACTTTAATTTTCTTTTAGTTGCTTTCCTCCCATGTTCACAACACAATACTGTATAACCCACCGCCCCTCAAAGTACGGTTTACCTGAAGGGCAAGCTCATCCTGCGGGTTCTGTTTGTTTGCAATTGGGGAATAAAACAAGACTAAACAGGTTGCTTTTACAGGGAGAACTGTGCAACTTTAGTGTGCGTGCTCGTTGTACAACTTTTACTAATGACTGTGATATAGCTGTCTGTTATTAACATGGCTTCATAATGAGATGTCCTATCATACGAAAACGTTATTTAGCATGGAATTTTTATAAGTGCAGATATCATTTCTCCTCTTCCTCCGCTTTCTAATTCAAGCTGTTGTCCCAGTTTAACGTTTCGTCCTGATCTCGAACCCCCATGAAATACATCTGACTTTAATTTTCTTTTAGTTGCTTTCCTCCCATGTTCACAACACAATACTGTATAACCCACCGCCCCTCAAAGTACGGTTTACCTGAAGGGCAAGCTCATCCTGCGGGTTCTGTTTGTTTGCAATTGGGGAATAAAACAAGACTAAACAGGTTGCTTTTACAGGGAGAACTGTGCAACTTTAGTGTGCGTGCTCGTTGTACAACTTTTACTAATGACTGTGATATAGCTGTCTGTTATTCTTTACTTGTTGTGGCAGTGACCAGGCGTTGCAAATATCCATTCCCCTCTTCCCACCTCTGTCTCCGTATATTTTCCTTCATTGATCTTAACTACTCTTGCGATTGTACTTTAAGTGCATCTAGTAAAAAGTTGATGAAGATGTTGTGGCCCGGTTTTTTTTTTTTTAAAGCTGACAAGCGGCCGTTAAGACACTGGGAACATTCTGTTTGCCATTTTTGACTGGGTGTGGAAAGAAAACCAAATAGAACTAAAAGTGGACCAGGCATATAAATGTGTATATATCATTTTATTTTACTTTGATCCTTTTTTTTTTTTCTCCTATTTTGCAAAGCATTTAACAGTTGGTGAGCTTGTTTTACCATTAGAGAGATGTATTGGTAGGACGTGAACTTCAGGCGATAAGCTTTTCAGGCGTGTTGCATATGCAGACTTCATAAATACACTAATAAAAAGTTTTAATTCTCATGTTAATGCCTGTCTGGAGTCTTTTTCTTTTGTTTTTCTTGTTGTTGCACAACTGTCATCAAAATAGTTTCATGATGCCACTTGTGTATTATTTCAAGCATGCTCTTTGCCAACAGTGTACTGGGTAAATAAGTACACTAGCTTGAACTTTATTAGAGATAAGCATATTTGTTGTGGTGTAAATGATGCTGCGAATGTGGGACAGTCATAATTTGGTTGACTAAATGATAATTTGTATATCTGTACTTGAAAAGTAGCAAAATGAAATGACAGCATGGTAATCTAATGGGACCTTTATTTAAAAAAAAAAAAAAAAAAAAAAAAAAGTGCCCAAAAGAGATGTCTACAATTTTAGGTGTCCTGGACACAAATGTGAATTCAATGCGTCTAAGGTATGAATATGCAGAAGTGTCATTGAGCACCCTGTCTTATTTTCATTAAGACAAGGTACCATTCCAAGCTGGATAAAACCGTAAAGCTATAATGTGTGTGTGTGTATATATATATATATATATATGTGTGTGTGTGTATATATGTGTGTGCATGTTTATGTGGTTTGAGGACACAAATTTGTATAATAACATGGGTATGACATAGGTATTACAACGAGAAGGTGATTTATGAGGACGTTTTCGGTGTCCCCGTAATTCAAAAGGACTAAATACTTTTTTGCCCCACTGTATATATATATACGTGTGTGTGTGTATATATATATACGTGTGTGTGTGTATATATGTATACACACACTGTATATATGTGTGTGTGGGGGTTATGGGTATATACTGTATATATGGATGTTATTCAACAGCTGCACTGGCTTTAATTTGGATGCTGGACTCAAATGGAAAGGTGAATTAAGGAAATTTGTGCCACGTAGAAAATGAAAACTGCAAATAAATAAAATAAATAAACCTTGCCTAATAATAATAAACAAATTTTATTTTTTTTAATGTGATAACGGTCAGTTTTCCAAATGATCTAAATAATCTTTTAAAATAAATAGCACATAAAATTAAAATTTAATCCATAAATGTTAAAACACTAAATCTACAAACTAATGTAGAATCTAAATAAAAAAAATAAGATACTTGTTCTCTAGTTGTTAATACATGAAAACATGATCAGGCATATCTCAGTGCTAGAATACCATTGCTATGAAAGTAGGCTCTTTTGACCACTGGGACCCCCAAGGTCTAATCTCCTGTAACTGGCTAGGACAGAACTAGGTGGATGAACCCAAGTACAGCAGTTTCATTAAAATAAATAAATAATTCTGCTGTGCCTCCTTACTTTGACCACCAGGGGGAGCAAAAGCTTCAGAAACATACGATTGTTTCTCAGAGCACATCAAATGCCTGTCAGACGGTCTATTCTATTTACATTTGACGGAAACTTGAGTTTTAGGATTGAATTTTGTCACTTTACGAGGCTGTATTTATGTAAATATTGTTATATCTGTCAAACTAATTGGTAAATGTGTAAACCAAGTTTTCATTTTCGTTATAACAAAGCACTTGACTTTAAATTTTGGCACCAGAGACGTCCTATAAAACTAATGTGCCATTCAACTATTTGTTTATTAGTAGTTGTCACTATTATCAGAAGCAGAAGTGTTTAGGCCACCTCACCCTGAATCAAGGCCTCACCTTTTGTTAGGTCCGTAGAGGCCTTGATGTTAGGCAAGACCACATAGAGCCAATCAGTTGCTAAAAGCTCGGAGGCGTATCGCAGCAATTATTAATCATTCCTCTCCCGTTAAAACCCCTCTCTGTGGTCGGGATAGGCACTAAGTTGTTTCTCCAAGTTACATTGTAATAGTTTATAATTTGTGGCATTTAGTCTCGAAGTTGCATCTGGTTTGGCAGCGTTTCACAGTGTTAACCCCAGTGGCTCGTTAATGTGCGCCAGAAAACATTTCCCAAAAACGTATATTTACTTACAAACGGACTTACTGGAAACATATTCTAAATAGGCCTATTGGGTTTACAACTTGAATGGGCACACAATGAGGACGCTCTTCTCTATACAATTGTTGGTCCCGGTAAGTATTCGGGGTCATACTGTTATGTCCGACTATCCATAATGTAAGTATGATATTGTTTTCCATTCTGAGCTCGCAGTCTTGAGTCTCTTCATTCACATGATTGGTTAACTGTGAGATTGCTTTACATATTATACCTTACTGATCCTCACAATGCCTCCACCGTCTTGTTATTCTTCTGGGATCATTCAAGAGTAGCTCCATTGTTGAATTTTGGCCATAGGGAAAGAGCAATCATGTATAAGTTATGGCCAACTAATTAAAACATCATCCTAACCTATACTTGACCCGGACTCCTTTACAAAGGGCTCTGCAGATTATTTTATGCACTGCCCTCTGACTTGTCCAGTGTGAAGTGTTGGATGTCTTCTGAAGTCTTTTTCCTGGTACTTTGGCAAAGGTCTGCAGCAGTAACTGGAGCACAAGGGCCCTGCAAAGAATTAATTAGGCTCAAATGAGTTTTTCCTTCCATGGTAAGCACCGACAATGACCAGGATATACAGGACATCAGAGGGGTCATGTAGTCTTTCAGCCAGTGACCCCCAAGAGACCTCAGAAGACAATAGTAAATGGGACAGTTCATCCCAGAAACAGCAATTCTGTCATGACCAACTTTACTTAAAAGAAGTTATGGTGTAATTTTATGGAAACATCTTGTCCAACTGGCAATTCTGGTTTCATTCTTTTCAAGAGGTCATATTTGGTGGCAGATGTTTGTTGGAACATGGAAATAAATCTAAAAAGACGTATTTTTAGCATCATTTTAATTATTGGAAATCACCTACCCTCAAAATCAACATACCTCTTGTTCACTGAACTCTGTTATGCACATTGTTACCAGCAGCTGGCAGCAGTTATAAAGAAAATCATTTGGTGGGCCAGCAGCCAAAACATTAGCTGTGAATTTGTGTTGCTCTTTATTGGCAGGGTAATTAAAGCAATTATACAGATTATTGCGGTTTTAACCGATTAATACGGTTTCAGTAATGAACACTTTTATTTGCCAGTGAGATGGCTTTAACTAACAGCTCTATTTTGGTAATCACAGAAGTCATTTGAAGTACCAGCTGCTTATTACCCAAATACTTTGCTGTTTAGGTGGCTTTGAGTGGAGACAAATAATCCCACGTTAATGTTACAAAGAGATTATGAATTACTGACCTGGTTTTGACCTGAAAATGGTGACACTCCAGATAGGAGGGAGGTTATTTAACTGACATTGATGGTTTGACCTTAGGGGTCAAGCTGCATATAAGCAACTGGAGTCTTGGATGAGGATGTTTTTGACACGCCAACCTTTTTCAAAGGTGACATAGATGATTCGAATAACACTTTGCAAGTGCTAAAAAGAAGCTGGAGCAGTTTTGAAAAGGGCCTAATACATAGCCTTGTTGAATCCCTCAGTTCTTTCTGTGCATGAATATCTGCGTTAAAAAGTATGCGTCATAGTTTCCTAACATACTATGTAAACATCGCAGCAGAACAAAGAAGACAAGAACCATGAGGAGTATCGGTGATATTTCGCTTCGATGCACGGAGCTGCATGTAAGAGATACTGAGGGGTTGTGAAGATCTGAACAAACGTCGTCCTCTCATTTGCAATCTGTTTTCAGAGGTAACACCCAAGCGATTTACCGCACCCCACTCCCACCCAAAGAGAAGCAGGGGAGAGTTATAAAAAAACTGTTACGCTTAATAATTGATGTGCTGCATTTCAATCAATTTTACCACGGCGCTAGGCTAATTAAGGGTTGTCTCTGATTCCCAGGGGCAATTTAAAGAAAGAATGCAGAAAATAGTTTTTTCTCTTTCTTTTCTCGCTTTCTTT